AGGGGTTTCATGAAAGTCGTGCCGGGGCGTATGATTGGCTATCACTTAAACCTCTTGGCCAATATGGGGGCTTAAATGTTACAACGTTGAAAACGATGTGTTTTGCGAGTCATTTTTGGCAAAAAATTGACTAAAAACTGGGGAGAATTGTTCTCAACAAATTTACTAGAAAGCACTCACTATTATGTCCATGTGATCAAAAATTCACTGTTTGAGTTCGAGCTAGGATATCTTTAAATAAACCTTAATATGCGGCTAGTTAATTTTGCGTTTAGCGAGATAGTCGAAAAACCGCAATATTTATCTGCCTCAAGGTTAACCTGAGATCAGACTCTATTTTCGTTTCGATCTCAGGTTACCTCAAGGTATCACACATTTACATCATCACTAAGGAGCGTTGCGTGACGAGTGACGACCCTAATAACGGCTACGAAGGAGACTATCACCAAGTTCGTCCGAATGGAAAATACTTTCCTTCTAATTCGGACTACACAAGAAAAACAGAGATAAAAAGACAACTAGACGAAATACAGGTTGGGTAGCTTGTTTCAATGAATGGCACATAATACTTGCTATGCCCTCGAACGAAGGAAAATTCATGTTGTTGTTAAAAATTTCCCCCTCCCCCACCCCCTCCTTTTTAACTTTTACTTTTCTTGTATAGCTATATGAATTGGCTCTCAACCAATCAGGATACATTTGACATAAAATTTTCGTCCTAATTACGGTACTTTTGCGCCAATGGTTCCAGTTAGAGAGAACTTTACAGTATGCATTGCGGACCTTACTTCTATTAATAAACTCCTCTTATTTTCTTAAATTTTAACCAAATATTTAGACAGTAGGCTTTTAAAAAGTAAATAAGGCAGGAATGAAAGAATGACTGAAGAGTTTGAGCCCTGGGATCAGGGATAAAAAAAAACTCCAACTATTTTGTTAATTTTAATTTAATGACTAAATCCGAGTCTGTTAAAGTGAGAAGTCGGTAATTTTAACTATTTTGTTAATTTTAATTTAATGACTAAATCCGAGTCTGTTAAAGTAAGAAGTCGGTAATTGCAATGCGCCTTTACACTGCCTTTAAAATAATTGAACAATTAAACGCGGGATGGATGTTTAAAATAGCTTGATTTGTTCATGTTTCACACGTTGAATGGGTTGAAATGGAGACAGAATTAATGGAGAAGCTTTTCAATGACCAGTTCCCCTTTCATCCTAGAACCACAAACGGAAATTATATCCACGGTAATGAAGTAAGCGTTTTGAACCTCTCCGTCTTGCCAATCAGCCAAAGTTGTTTTAACATCTCAACATGCAGCTGTTTTAAGAACAGTTGTCAAATTTTTCATCCGAAACAAAGAAAAATCAACAATTGTGCTTGAGCTCTGACAAGTACTTAATAGAAAAAATAACAAATGAAATTTTCGCATGGAGGTTTATCCCGGTTTGATGAAAACGAACATTGAGCGCTCAAGCGATTAGCGTAGATAAACGTCATTTTTAATCACGCAGGACACGTTCAGTGATCGTAAGCTAGTTTTAGTAGCAAAAAGAATCATTAGGTTGCTAGTCGAGTTAAATTGTGTGTTTGACTCAGTACTCCACCTCCACAGAAAAAAAGGCCTCGCGTCAAGGTTTATATATGTGATAGCTCTGAAGATGTTGAATTACCAGTTTGATTATCATCCAGACATAAAATTCCACAGATATCTCTCCGGAAAAAAAGCATTTTGATGGTTCGGCGATAAGTAGGGAGTCGCCACGCATATACAAAAGTGTCCAGGCAGACTTTGAGAAATAAAAGTAAATCAGAGATTTGGAGCGCGATCTGAAAGTTTTGAATTGCTGGCGGAGATAGGTTGGAAGAGTAAAGAAATACTTGCGCTGTTATGACGTGAGGTACGGCTGACAAGAGTAGGATAGCTGCTAGGTACATCGCAACTGCAGTAAATTGTTGCTGGAGGTTTTCGCGGCGAGATTTTCGTTTCGATCCTGAGTTCGGGGCCGAGGAAGGGCTGCCAGCCGGAACTTCGAATGAGCGCCCTCGACGAAGATGGCGTCGAAATTCTAAGTTCAATAGCAACAAAATCACCATTAAATTAACAGAGAGAAATGTAGTGTTTATAGCCAGGCTAAGTTTAAAAAACAGGACTTTATCCATTCCTGTGAATTGCAGTGATGTGAAGCACATTAAATATATCAGACTTAGAAGAATGACAATTAGAGAGTTTCGCTTTGTCACAATCCTTTTGAAGCTATAAGGGCATTTCATTGCCACATATTGAGACCACGATAAGGCTAAGACTATCAGGAAAGAATAACTGATAGCCACTGTGGAAATAATACTTCCTGCAGCGAACAGCTTGTCTAAAACACTTGTGACTGCCTCGATGCCTTGGAAATAAACCACAAAGTAGTAAACGGCGAAAAAGGGTTCGGTCGTGAGCGCGGTCAGAAGGTCTGCAAGACTGATGACTACGATGAAACTCGTTGTCGGCGCTGTAAAACATTTCAGCGGATCTTTCCAAATAGCTACAAGAAGAAGGAGATTGCTCGTAACCGTGGTGACCGACAGAGCAGATAGACACACTGCACTTGTTAGATGAATAATCGCTGCCATTTTTCTAGAATTGTTTATCCACTGTCGAAAGGCGTCCAAAAAGCAGGTCTCGACCTGTTTACTGACTTGGCGCTGTTTGTCTCAAAACGGAAGTTCAAGCTTCTTTTCTTGAAAGCCGTCAATCTGCCACCAACAAAGCGTTTTCGTGATTTCAAAACGGTGGTTGATTAATTTCATTAATCGTCTGCAAAACGTCCTCTCTTGAATCTATCCTTCTTAAGGGCAATCAGCCTGGTGAAAGTTTATTTCCAAAGTCCAGCTGATTACAACGAGGTAAAAATACGTCGTTTGTATCGACCTGACTGTTGATGAAAAACTGGACAAAAATAATCCCGGTGTTGATTACGCGTAAATTTCTCCCACCATCTTGATCAAAGATTGCGAGAGGTTTTGTGGTATGCCATTCCGATTTTACCTTCTCTCAGGAAGCCAAATATCAAACCACAAAGTACGGTTATAAGCCCAAGAAAGGAAATCTTTACATACGCCGAACGAAATTTAAACATTGATCTGCCGATCGGCAGCTGTCAGGCTTGCCGGAGAGTATTTCAGTTTGCTAGCTTCAATTTGTTGACTTATTCAGTCTTCTGTCACTATAGTGACAACTTACAGAGACAAAGTAAATTCATTTAAAAAAGAAAAAGGTTTTCCTTTCTTTCAGTTTTCATCACGGAAAAAACAATTCATTTGGTGTATTTGATCCAATCGTAAATAATGTTCCGTGTAACGTGCCTTAACTTATA